GGCTGAAAATTGGGAAAATAGTTAGGGACAGACAGGGAAAATAATTAATTGTCACTGGGGCACAGAGGACTGTCAGAGTGAGAATTGCGTATTTGCTTGTTCAGTGTCTGTTTATCTTGGATCTTTATTTCAGCCCAGATGTTCCTGTCACAAACATGGCAGCACAAAACCTGCACCTGACTGCTCCTGGCCAGGGAGGGGACATGCTGCCTGCAGGCTATTCCCTGCTGCTGGCTGTGGCATCTCTGGCAGGTGCAGGTGAGCTGCCACGTGTGCTGCAGCCACCTCACTGTGCTGCCTCTTCTGACACACAGCCAGGTGATTTCCTTGGTAGCAGCTTTAGGCATGAGGCTGGGCCAGCCTTCTGCTTTAATGTCACTTTGTGCATCTATAATGTGGATCTTTTTTACTTTAAACTCAATAATGTTCTGGTTAGTGCACTCCTGAGAGGTAGATGTAGCTTAGCCCTTTGCTTCTGAGGCCTCAGAGGGACAGCAAGGTTGGCATTGCTGCACACAGCTGTCACTGTTAAGCTGCCTCTCTCAAGAGGTGGCAGCTGAGGGAGAGAGAGAGGGAGGATGGAAGGAAAAAAATAGGTTGTCAGATTCCTCATGAATCTGAGAATGGTGTTTGAGCATAATGGAGGATGGTGTTGAACATCCCATTTTAAGGGCTGCTCCCTTCTGTAAATCTCTCTTCTCAGTAGGGAAAGGAGAGGTTTTGCAGTACCCTGATAGCAAAGAGGATGTCAACTGCTGCTGGGGAACTTCTGATGGAGACCTGGGACTGTTTTCTCCTGTAGGTGCATAGCAGTTAACCCTGGAGAATTTAATTGCTGAGTGTGGCTGGTGGCCCCAGCCTTCTGGTCTCTGGCCTTTCACTCAGAATTCTTGCTATGGAGATGATGATTGAAAACAAATCACATGCACTAAATGTGTGCTCATGTGTTGGGAATGACTTTGTGTAGTTGTTTGGATGTCTCAGGGCTGCAGGTGGGTGATCAAGCAATTTGGATAGTGCTTGAATCCTAAGTGTGGGGCTCATTGGAGGTTCCCATTGTGGATATGGACAAGCATTTTCATCCAGTGTTCAGGGGATTAGCAGTGACAAATGCTACTTTGAGCTCCTGGGCTGTGACACCCCAACCCAGCAGGATCTGAAAGCCTCAATGTGTTCTTAAGCTGACAAGGGATTATAGAGTCAGGTAACCCTGGTACAGGGGTGTCCCATGATGCTTTCACACCTTGCAGGGAGGGGTTTGCAGTCTGAATGAGCTGGTGTGGTGCTGCAAGTGAGATCTACAGCTGTGTGAACTGGTTACATGAAGGAAGGTGCCACCTGGAAGGATATAGCTGCTTTTAACCAGAGTATCAGACTTCAGCTGGGTGCAGCACCATATAACTGTCTGATCTCTAGCCCTCTTGTGAAACCCTGCCAACTTGGCTATTTCTGGAAGATGTTCCCCTCCAAGTACCAGCAAATCACAAGTATCAGAGCACTTGCCAGAGATGGAGGGTTATGATCATCTCTCCTGCTTATGTGTCCCACAGCAGTGCCCCATCAGCACTGATAAACTTCTCCCCAGAGTGGTTTGGCTGCCAGCAATGAACATCACCAGGTCCCTGGTGCACTGACTGAGATGCAGGCCAGGAACTGAGGCTACTTAACAACAAAAAGCCCTTTTAAAACAGAATTTTACTCTGTTGGTTTTGTTTGTTTTTTTTTAACACAGGTTTTCTCCCTAGTTAAGTGAAAAATATTTATCATGAAATTCAGCTGAAATTCTCTGAAATTTATCTGCTACATTCGCAACCCAAGTATTGCAACAGCAGGAACCCGAGAACGCAACTGATTTGTCATTACAAGAGTTGAGAGAAGTAGAAACAGCAAACAGCACTACAAAAATGACAAGCAAAAATATGGTTATTATTCTTTCAGTCTTAGTCATGTAAAGAGCAAGCAGAAGCATAGGTAAGGCAGTTTCCCTTAGAGGTGACTTATGTTGATGGTGCTCTCCTATGAAATGTCTCTAATTTAACTCCTCCTTCTAACAAGATGTGGTCACTGGTATTACTTGTTACAGCACTGTGTCCTGTCAGCCCAGTATTTCACATGGTGCCACTGGGGACAGTTTTATTTCAAATGAACAAATAAATTAAGCTCATTTCTGGTCTGGGATAGCTCTAATGTGCACAATCTACTATGTTCACAGCCTCAAACAAAATTACTGCTAAAGCAGCCTGCAGGTAAAAGGCCAAAGTAACTTCAGTTAGTCAGGAAAGAAATTAATTGGAATGAAAGTCCTTGATCACATCATCACAGTGCTGCTGGGCTCTCAGAGAGATAGCTGAACACTCTGCTGGGAACCTGTTCCCTGCAGACACCCACATCTGCAATTAAAAAGGGTTAATGCTCATTCTGTGAATCTTCCTCAGCACTTACTGCTTCAGCATTACTTTTTTTTTTTCACTTTTCTTTCTGGAAGCCAAAGGAATTTTTTTTTCTTTAGTATCATCAAGAACAGGAATAGAAACTTTGCAACAAGCTCAGAATGTTCTTTGGCTCAGCACATGGGAAAGAGATTTAGGGTTGGATTTCCTATTGCTTCACACTCACTCCTGCCTGCTAGCAGGGTAATGATTTTGTGGGCAGGCATTTTTCTTAATGAGCCATTGGCAAAACTGCCTGTTTCTCCCTAATTTACTGTCATATCTCCTCAGCTGGGTTCTGGAGGCAAACACTTCACCTTCCCTCACTGCCAGCTGCCAGCGAGGCTCTGAACTCGAGTTCATCTTCTGAAAGACTCACTTTACATTGTGAACAGGGAGAGCAGGGGGTGAAGATGTTTATCACTTTCTGAGGGGTTTTATTACACTGTTTGGGATGGATGGTCTGGTTCCATGATTTTCTTGGCAACTGATCATAATCCTCTAACCTTCATTGTGACTAAATGACGAATATCCAGAAGCAGAGCAAAGTAAGGACGCAGGTTGCCCCTTCAGAGTGGGAAAACAAGGCAGCATGGGGCTGCCAAGGGACTGGAGCCCGTGCTGGAGCCAGGACTTGCACAAGAGCTCTCTGTCAGAGGTCCTTGTGCACTGTGCCTCCCACTTGAGCTGCTGTGGGAGCACTCTGTTCCCAGCAGCTGGTCCTACAGCATTTTGTCATTGACTACACAACCCCAGATATTAATAGCAGAGAGATGTCCCCTGCTTTCAGCTGTTCAGCTGTATCCCTGCTTGTCTGGGAGCTGATTCCTGCATGCAGCTGGGGTATTGTCATTGCTCAGGTACTTCAGGCCATCAGTTTGATGCCACAGACTGACAGGGAAGGAGCAGCATGGTGGAGGCTCTGACCAGGGCTGGAAGGACAGGCCTGTCAGCAGAGGGGGAGATCTGGGTGCTCTGTGAATGAGAACATCATGGCAAGCTCACATTTAGGTACAGAATTAATCCAGTGTGTTCTGCTGGGTCCTGAAGCTGTTGGCACAGGAGGGGAATGAACATCTTCACTGGGGAACAATAGGTGTGTGAGCTCTTATGGAATTAGGACATCAAAAGGACTAAATGTTTTCCAAAAATTACTCTCTGCAGTCCCTGTGGTGACTGTTTATTGGGCACTTTCCTGAAGCTAATTGTGTATTTTACTGATGGGAAGCACTATTTGGAATCTCCATACCTGGAGTAGCTGACACACATTGTTCCTTTTGCCATGCACACCTCAGTGTGTCCAGCATCATCTCTGGCTGTGGATTCTAACTAACAACACATGAGCAGAGCTTCACCTGAAAGTGAAACATCACCTCACCTCTACAGGCAGGAAAAGGAAGGTGCTCTGTAACTTGCCTGTCAATGCTTTTGTTGTGGCAGCTGTGTCCTAGGAAGAAACAAATGAAGCATCTTTCCAGGAATCTGGCTGCACAGCACAGTGTGGTGCTGATCCCAAGCTTGGGGTGGAAGATGCCCTCATGGATGAAGTTCACTCTCCTCTTGTGTTGGGCAGCAGCAGCTCCCACTTATCTTTGGACACCACTGGCTCAGCACAAGGCACTGGCTCTCCCTGCTGAGAGTTTGGAAGCTGCAGTGGGCTGGAATGAGGCATTTTAGCTGACACAGGGATGCTTGGCTGCTCAGCTGGCCCTCTGCACTGCAGAGCTTAGTTCTGTTCCATGTAAGAAAGCAAAGGGGCTAAACACATTCTGCAGAGCAAAACAAAGCTTTCAGGGCAGGCAAGCACCTGATCCTCCTCCTGCTACTACTATGGAAACATGTCAGAGCAGAAAACCTGTTGCCATGAGACTGTAAAAATAACCCTGCCATCACATTATGGAGACACGGACTGGCTGCACCACATGGCTTATGTAAGAGCAGCTCCTGCACTGGGATGTGGCACTGTGAGCTGCCTCCTGCTCCCAGGAGACAGGCAGCCTTCAGAAAAAGCTGCAGGCAAGACAGTTCGGGCAGTAAGTCTGTTATTTTTAGTCTGTGTGTCTGAAATATCAGCCTGAAGTGGACAGAGACACATTTAGGGTATGTAGTGTCAGCAGGAGAATTTTAAAAGTAGGACCAAGCAATGGTAGTTGGGTTTTTTGGTTTAAAGAAATCACACTTTGGTTTTAAGGGGTCAGATACAGGGTATTTTTTTGAACTCTGTGTAATTTGAAGCATGTTTAGAACTGGCCAGGGCAGGAGAAGGCTTTGCTGAGTTGGAGAGTGATCAGGAAGCCAGGGAAATGGTGATGCTGTGTTTGATGTTGTCATGGCTGGGAAAAAGGAAAGAGAGCAAGGGACCAGGCCCAGGAGCCAGGCCCAGCTCTGTTGCTCATGCAAGATTTGGCAGAACAGGTGAGCAACCTCAGGGCCGGAGAAAGGACAACAACCATGTTTACAGTTCTGAAACTCTGCCCAGAAATATCTCTACAGAAGTTCAAAAAATGAAGGGCCTGACTGGATAAAAACACTTCCCTGTATGCAGAAAAAAAAAAATCAAACTCACTGTAATCATGTACCAATTACTTTTAAAATCTTATGCTCTTGACCAAGTTAAGCACTTGGGGGAACACAGAAAACAGCAAATTTTAAAACCTCTGCAGAAACTACTACTGGTTACATCAATTGTCCTTTTACTACAAGACAAACTCAGTGACTATTCCTGCTCAGCTCTCCTCAGGCTGCTTTTTTAAATATACCCAAGTTTTATCCCTTCCTCCAGTCCTGAAAGCCTCATTTCTGTCGTCTCCTGCCTTCCAACAGTGGAACATGTTTTCCCAGCAAGACTAAAAGGATGCTGCCTCCTCCTGCTCCTCCCTACACATCCTTAGAGATTCCTGACGTGCCTCAGATGTACAGCTTTGCTTTGTTTGAATGCACAACTCCTCCTCTGTGCTTCAGGCATGTGGAGGATTCCCAACCCCTCCTACTCCTGTTCCCAACGTGACAAAGGAGCAGCTCTGAAGCCAAACCCCACAAGAGTTCACACAAACCCCCAACAAGGAACATACACATGGAGTTCAGGAATGTCCCACTGCTCTGATTTTAATGATGCCACTTCCAACCCAGCTGGGCATTTTTACTCAGCACTGTGTCGAGGTCCAGCACAGAGCAGGAAAGGGTTTGTGGTCCAAAGAAACTGCAGAGTTGTAGCTGAGGAGCCAAACCATTCCCAGGGCCCTCACCTGGGTGGGCTCTGGACACACCAAGGTCCTGCAAATCCCAAGGACTGTGGCTACTGAAACATGAACACCCAGTGACAGCCAAGCACGCTGTGACAATGGCACGGCCACCTCAGCCCTCCAGGATGCGGTTGATTAGCTTCATCTCCTCAGCAGACATGGGGTTCAGGTTAAACCCCTTCAGCTCAGGTTTACCTGAGAAAACACATTGAAAACATCAGGATTTTGTCAGTAAAGTGAAGCAGCTCGTGGTAAACTCGAGAGAGGCTGTGGGGAGGGCAGGGACAGCCCTGGGAGCTGAAGTGGGGTCACCCCAGCACAGGGTCAGAGGGGGTTCAGGTGCTGGTGGGTGACAGCTCCACACAGAGACAGACAAGGGTGCTAGGGCAGGGAGGGAACTGCAAAACCAGTGGAAAAGAGGCTGCAGGAACACATGGAACTGAGGAATCTCCTGATGCACGAGTCTGCTCCCAGGCAGGTTCCAGTGGGAGAGTTTACCTTGAGCTTCATAGAGCCGGTTGACCTTCACCCGCAGCTCTTTCCGGAGCTTGTTTATCTCCTCATCCAGCTCTTCCTGGTCTGGGATAAGAGTGGGAGTGAGGAGGACTGTGGTGGGCTCTGGGATGAAGGCTCAACTCCCCATGGACACAGCACAGGCACAGGGGGGTCCCACCTTGCCTCCACCACCCCCGGGGCCGAGCAGCTTCCCAAGGCACAGCAGGGCCAGAATCAGCCTCTCCAGAGGCTCTGGGCACCTCAAAGCCCATCTCCGGACAGAAATCCGTTAATTGAGCCAACATCTCGTTAATTATGGTGCCAATTAAATCACCGATAGCTACACGGAGCCCTCGCGGTGAGCTCACCCTGGCGCAGCATCTCCCGGGTCTTCGCCTTCGGCAGCTCGATGAACATGCCCCCGAAGCACACCATGGCCTTCTCTGGGGAGGGGAACGGAGGGGAACGGAAGGGAACAGAAAGGAACCGGCTGTCAGCGGAGCCGCTCCGCGACC